TTTTTTTTTTTTTTTTTTTTTTTTTTTTTTTTTTTTTTTTTTTTTTTTTTTTTTTGTAAATTTTAGTCAATTCACTTTATTAAAGAAAATGTCTATTTCATTTAACGTCAATTTATACCAAAATTGACTCGTTTATGTTCCATATTTTCAAATGAGCATTTATATTAAAGGTGGGTTTGATTGCAAAAATTTGAATGACCATGTATATAATTTAGCGAGGATATTTTAAATATTGTATAAATAAATGTAATATTTGAGATGGGCTAGAAATTCCCACCCTAATTAAACTAATAGCTTTTTTATTTACGTATTTATTTATTTAGACTAAAGCTACAACGGAGAGTAGAAGATCTAAAAGTCAAAGTCTCAACCATACATATTTTAAACCAATTTAATTATGTTTCGAAGACTATGCATCCAATTGGTTAATAAAAATTGTAAATTATAAATGACATGAAATGGAGAGGGAAAATAATAATAAATAAAATATTAATCTTGCAGAAATATAAAATTACGAGATCTAAAAATACTTTTCTTTTTTCTTTTTTTCTTTTTATAACAAAAATTAAGTAAGAGTATGAAGTCTTAATAACATGTTCTTCAGATTTAATAGCTGTATTTTTAATAAATATTAAAATTATTTTTATTAAAAAAAAAAAAACTATTTTATAATTTACTGTAAGTTCATAAATTCAAATATTAAAATATGGGAAATCTAAAATAAGTCTTGTTATTCATGTGCAATAAAGTGGGAGCTACATAACAATAATAGTGACAAAATTGCATTGACTTTTTTTACACCATTTTGGAGTTGCGCCCGCAATTAATCGAGATTATTGTTTGTCTAATCTCTTTCAAACGGTGCATTATTACAACCACATTCACATTGCCGCGTTAATTTTTTTTACTATTTTGTTGGTCCACGTGTATATAACGGACTTATTACAAATAAATTCTCATCAACTTATTATTATTATTATTATTTAATCCCAACATAATGTTAAAGCCAATATTAAATTGAATGAATTTTGATTATATATATCACACACAAAAATAATTATTTCATTGGATTTGAAAATATTAATTTTAAGAAATTATTTGTTATTTTCTTCCATTGAGGTGAGATCTCATAATTCATCGTTTAGGCCTAACATCCTTCATGTCACTCTCTTTAGAGTCCAATGTTCTCGCTAGATACTCTCGATGTCTGACTCTAAAATCATTTGTAATAGCTCAAACCTATTATTAATATTGTTTAGTATTCTTCTATCCACCCTAAAATTAGAAATATTTCTTAATAATATAAAAAATATATATTGTATTAATTTAATAATAATAATAATAATAATATAAAGTTTAAAAAATAATAATAATATAAAAAAACACCGCCAGGTTGCTCCCCATTTCCACTTCCGAGTCAAATCGGCCAACTTTTTATTTATTTATTTATTTTATTTTATTTTGAGTTCAAAAGGTCATCTTACACGTGGGAAAGGACGTCTACTATCCGAGCTGTCAAAGCCTCCTCCAAAATTCCCATAATATCCCCACGCTTTTCACCTTGTATTTTATTTTTGTATTTATATCTAAATGTAGTTTTTAAAATTTTCGTTTTTAAATCTATATTTATTACATGTAGTTGATTGGTTTATTGATATCACATAAAAAGAAAAATTCATAATCGATTGAATGACGCAATTAATATGTCAGTACATAACCAATTTAAAATGTCATTACTTTAGATGCTTAAAATTATTAATACATATAACGTTATTGTTAAAATAAGCTCAATTAAGTAGGTTTAAAAGCACGTCTTACACAAAGTTGAAAGTAATTATCTAATTGATTAGGTTGAAATACACGTGCCATCCACTTAATTGAAATTTACCTAATTCATAATTAATTAATTTTATTATTAAAATAACGTAATTCGAACATATTAACTTAAATATAGTTTAATGGATTAAAAAATAAATAAATATTCAAATGTTAACTCTCAAAGTAGCTGAGCATTCCCCGATTTTGATCTCATACTCTTATGGGTCGACGAGTGGTGTCACCCAATTGGTCAAATTAATATGTTAATTAAATTAGGTTGGTTTTACTTAATTGATATTGACCCCAAATTTGATATGTGATGTATGGTTGAAGTTGTTATAAATTGTTATCGTATCAAACTATCATCATAGTTTGTGTGATTAGACCATCATCAACCCATTCATACAATGTTGATTCACACTTATCGTAATAAATGTGTGTAAAAAAAGGTGGATTTGATGTTGATTTTGAATCGTCACGAACAATCTTAAAACCATCATCATACACATTCAATGACGGAGAAAATTGATAATCAAATATTGAATTTGTTATAGCGAGTAATTACTATTTTTTTTTATTTAAAATTTAAGTTTGAGATTGAGATGAGATTGTTCGATCATTCATATATATAAAAATAAAATATGAGAATTAAAATTATATTTTAACGCAAAAGATATAAAAAGGCTTTCGTCATATATATGTAACAAGTATTATTCTTATTATTATACCTATCAACCTCATTAAATTCAAAATTTATTATTGAAGATAGTCAAATTCAGCCTTCCCTTTTCCTTGAACAACTTAAGTAAAAAGGATTTAGGGTTTGGAAGCTGTTGCCAAAAAATTGATATTTCCAAAAAGTTTAATATTCCTTCACGCGCTTGTACTAAAAAAAGAACCTCACGCGCGACAAATGAACGTGGATATCACGCAAGCTCAAAGGAGTAATGGGCCGGAAAAGTAGGAATGAAACCGGCGGCATAGGGATTGTGTTAAAGAATCTTTGTAATGTTTAAATTTTAAATTAAATTAATCAAAAATCAAATTTTTTTTTTCAATTAATCATTTTATAAAATTATAAAAATAATTAGCTATTTATTTTGGCTGAATAAGGAAAAAGGAAGTGTTGTTAAGCAATCAAGCTTTGATTGAACGAAGTTCCGCGGCAGTGCAAGTATGGAGAAAGAGGAAGAGGGTCCCACACAGTCCATCCTCCATTATCGAGTTGTTTAAAACCAGCTGAAGAGCATCTTCATTTTATCAAGCCACAACAAATCACGCAGCCCATTACCAAAAATTCACTCCCCGTTCAGAAAGATTTTACAAAAGCTCCCAAAAAAAGTGAGGTTAGAATATAGAGTAAACAAATGGGCTTGAGCCCCAGCTGGGTTTCTTTTATTTTACCCAATCTGTGAGTATAGAAGCATATAATAAAGCGCCCACGAGGGGAAAGGAACAAGAATAACACAGAAAGAGCCTCCACAAGCTCCATTGGCCTTTGGTTGGTTCAAGCTTTGGAGGGCTGAGGTTTGTTGTTCGGTTTCCATGGCGGAAATGTGGAGTGTGATACCAGTGCTTCTTTGTTTATTTGGTGTGTTTACTGTTGAAGCCTCTGTTTCTTATGATTCCAAGGCTATTATCATTAATGGGCAGAGGAGGATTCTCATTTCTGGATCCATTCACTATCCAAGAAGCACTCCTGAGGTAATGTCTATTTTCTTTTTCCTTTTCTGTTCTTGTTTCCTGGTTTTTTGGCTGCCTATTCAGATGTGCATTCATAGATTCTTGAACATATGACTATATAGCCTTGGTTTTTTCTGGGTTCTCTACTTATTTTGGAACTTTGTTCTTTATGGGCTCCCATAGATGTGGCCAGATCTTATTCAGAAGGCTAAGGAAGGAGGTCTAGATGTGGTTGAGACTTACGTCTTTTGGAATGGGCACGAGCCTGCACCTGGAAAAGTAATGGAGGATTATATTATTTTCTCTCATCTTTAACCTTT